TCGCTGCTTCCTCGACTGTGGACGGCTTCCTGTCTCTGACCCAGTCCCTGGTATCTGCAGGTGTGTGGTCAAAAAATTGTTCTAGCAAGAGAAGTTGTAGTACCTCCTCTAGCATTGTGGCCTGGCAGCCTTGTATCCAATTTTGTGCTGCCCGATACATCCTAAAGGCCCACTCGTTGTAGGAGTCTCGGCCCCCTTTCCGTAATGCCCGAAACTTTTTTCTGTAAGTCTCTGGGGTCACGGCATACCTGGGTAGCAGAATGTCCTTTACCCTGGCGTAGTCATGTATGGCTGTGTCAGGAACTGCTCGGTACGCCTCCGCTTCTCGGCCTGTCAGCTTACTGCTTAAAATCGCGGCCCATTGCTCTGATTCCTGACCTTCCAATGCGCATTGACGCTCAAAATCCTGCAGGTATGCGTCAATTTCCATATCTCCATCTGAAAAACCTTTAAAAGCAGCATAGTTGATCTTTCTCCACTGCCCTCCATTTATAGATCCAGCTAGGGAAGCGTTGTCCCCTTGGTTCACGCTTGCCTGCAGCGCTCTCCGCTCTGCGTTCACTTGTGCCAGCACTTGGGACACCATCTTAGGTGTGGGATTTGGCCCATATAGGTTTAGCCTCTGTTACAAAGGACTCGAAATGACTCCATTATTGTTATTACATGTTGTTACTGTTGCAGCCCTATACTTTTAACATGGGGAAACACGAATGGATTATATGAATTCTTATAAAGACCCATTCGTGATACGAACGGGAGACCCCCCAAACGCTGGCGTGTGCTGCCAATTAACCTCTTCACCCCGCAAAGTACCGAATGGCCGACCACCCGAAGAGCGGAGTGTGGCGCCCATTAACCACCCAGGCGGCTGCGGTCTGCGGTTAACCACAAACTAATTGACGGGCAAGGAGGATCGACGTTCGCCCACAAATCACCGAAGGGGAACTACCGAATAACCTCACGAACGGAGACCCCCTACAGTGGGTTGTGTATCAGCAATTAGCCTGTGGTTTCTGCGGTTAACCGCAACTCAAGTACCGTGCTACCAGGTGGTCCTAATTCATGTACCGAACGCGTTCCACTACCAGACAGACAGCGGGGATTCGCATGAACTTATACCCGAGTTCAGTTCCATAAGTTGGAGGCGAGGTCCCGCTGCTTGTTAAACCGTCTAAAAACATGGCCACCACTCACGATCCAAAATACGGAACGGACTTTATACGGCAGAAATAGATCATTCTGTTCATCGGATTGGAGCGCCATTCGTATGTTTAATGTACCCGAACGCGAACTATTGAATGAATGGTAGAATGAACCGTTTTCCCCTATTAATGTTGAAGTTATGTATTTTTATACAGTTTTATGAGACATAATAAAACGTGGTCTTTTGTGTGCTTGGAGATAATTACCGTATTTATCGGCGTATAACACGCACCGGCGTATAACACGTACCTCATTTTAAGAAGGAAATTTCAGGAAAAAAACTTAAATTTCAAATAAAGAACTTCTTACCCCTTCTTACTCCCTCCCTCTTCTACCTCTTTCTTACTCCTCCCCTCCCCTCTCTTCTTACTCCCCCTCTTCTTACTCCCTCCCCTCTTACCCCCTTTTCTACTCCCTCCCTCTTTCTACTTCCCTTTCTCCCTCTCTACCCTTCTTACTTCCTTCTTTCTCTCCCCTCTTCTTCTTACCCCTTTCTTTCTTACTTCCCCTCTTCTACTTCCTCTCTACCCCCTTTTACTCCCTCTTCTAACCTCTCTTCTTACTTCCCCTCTCCCTCTTCTTACTCCCCCCTCCCCCTCTTCTTACTCCCCCCCTCCCCTCTTCTTACTTACTACGCGGAACAGGAGTTTCTGTTTCCTGTACCCAGTCGGACTGACAGGCAGGTGCACACTGAGCGTGCACCTTCCTATCACTTCGGCCGGGGACCGTGGACAGCAGAGCTGCTCGGCCACGCTACAGGGGAGGGGAGGTGAGTACCAACTGCAGCCGCCTGACCGCTCTTGACAGAGCGCTCAGGCGGCTGGAGTATTTAAAGGGCCGGCGTATAACACGCACCCACAATTTGCTCCCTATTTTCAGGGAGAAAAAGTGCGTGTTATACGGCGATAAATACGGTAGATTGTATAACCGTTGGCCTCATTATCTCCAAGCTGGGCGGGTACTAATTCAAACGATACACTGTACTGTGATTGGTTACTTGTTTGTACTGTACCTGTATTCCATCAGGTCCACAGGGGGCTGTCCTTGGACCTGAGGAATTGCATAAATTGCCATGTTTGTGTGCCAGTAAAATCAGTTCGTTTTGACCCTCAACTTGCAGCCTCGACTCATGTTGTAGGGATCCGGGATATTGATGCTTATATCGTGTTTGGGATACTCTACACTTGCAGCTTATTACCGAAGGAACTCCGTTCGTCTCTCTACAGCGGGAACCAGGACATCCAAGCGATCAACCCCCCCTGCTAGACCGGGGGCAATCGTAACAGCCTCCACATCACCTTTTGTTGGAATTCAGCTTCCTCCTGGCTGACATTCGCCATGCTGCTGGATTGGTCGCCCTCCATCAATTCTGCTATGAGGATAGCTTTCTTTTTGTTGCTGGCTACTTGTCCCCGAGCTTCCAGCAGATCCTTTACAGTGGTCCTTTTTAGTTTCTCCTACTGCTGGGCCATTCACCAGTTGTCCTTATGCGTTCCATTCAATCCCGTCGCTTGCCACCAGTTGTTAAGACCTGCAGTGGTTATGGTGCTGCGGTCTTGGTTCCCTCTCCCAACAGCTGAGCATAAGTGATTATAGCTGCAGCAGGGAGTAGAGGAATAAAACAGATGAAATGCAGTTCCAAGGTGATTCTTCCCAGCAAATAGAATATCCCCCAAACATGAGCCTAGACTTCAAGAAGGGTGTAACAGGAATAATCTTTATTGAAAACACACGGGCTTTTATGAGAAATCCTCCTGCAAGAGGACCTCTCACAGCAAACAAAAGCAACAGCCAATCATCACACAGATTTACAGTATTACACGCCTCCTCTCTGCGTGGGAGATATTGAGATAAGTTAAGGAATAAACCAATTATCTCCAGGCAGAGAGCACACAATTTCCCCAAAACTTAGAACACCCCATTCCCCACAAGGTATCCCCACAAATTAGCCCCGATCTGGGGGACAAACATATCCAAATTTCACTTAGGTTCAGGGGTTCTGAAAAAGTGTGGAGGGTCCCTTTTACCGACCACACACGTGGCTCCTGCCCAAAACAGTTCCACGAATTCAGCGTGTGCGGTCGGTCAATTCACAAAACTGTAAAAACAAACAAAAGTCCCAAATGGATTCCCCTGGCCCATAGTAGCGATTGCTCCCCTTGTCCATTCGCACAGAACTACCGAATGGGGCTTCCCTGGCTTTTCGGGAAATATGAGAAGCCGGCGTTCGGTAGTTTCCAGCTGTAGTTCGTGAGGTCGAGTGGCCGATTTTAGTTCCAGACACTCGACGACCAAGTCCCGCTGGCTCTCCTCGTGCGAACAAGATGGCCGCCGTTTTCTTTTCCACGTGGCGTTCGGTTGTACGAACAGTGGCCGCCCAGGGAGCACTTAATAGCTTGTTCCTTTGTACTAAATGAGCCAGGAGGGTGGTCGGTGTTCGGTAGTTACACCTTGCAAGTAATTACATATAAAAATACCAAATCAAAAGGAGAAAATGTCAGGCAAAAGTCAATTTTCTTCACACACTTCTAGCAGTCAAACTGGAACAGCATACAGTAAATCCCCCAAAGAACGAGACAAGGCTCCGTTTTGAGGGTCAAGCAGTGAACAGACAGAGCTGTGGGTTTATTGTTCTTATGTACACATTCTTACACATTAGTACCACCCACAGGGTTTTGGAAAACAACAATACACTCAGATGCTCCCACACTAAATCCTCCCCTCTGCCTGTGATACAATTACCTTACACAATGGGTAATGTAATTATCACAGCCAGAGAAATACAGTTTTTCCACATTATTCATAACTTGAAAAGTATGCATCACATTCTGATTTTCAGAATCAGCATACTCCAAATACAAACAAATGTCAAAATCATCTAAATTGGTCCATTGGTTCAAAAGATAGATCAAAGTCCTTTGTGACCAAATGAAGCATGGCTTTTCTGCCCAAAACTAGTTCCACAGAGACTTCTATCCTGGAGATAATTGGGAAGTAATCTCCAAGGTCAGAGGCAAAACTCCATTGAACACATGGCAGCAAAAGACAAAAAAACACATTAAAATATATAACTGTGCAGCCATTGCACAAAACAGGTACATTCAACATATCCCCAGATAGCTCAGATCTGAGCGCACATTATTACTGAATGGCGCTCAGAGCACACACATACAGTTCAATTGCCATGGAGCCAAAGTCTTTCCCATAGTCTTTCATTATACGAATGGGCTCCATGGCATAGCTATCTGGGGTATTACCGCTCAAACAGGGCAAGCACCGAATGACCCGGCTTTCGTGTCTTCGCAGGGGAAAATCAAGCATTTCAACATGGGGCCATAGTCTAAAGGCAGCAGGCGGGCAACCAGGCTCCTCTAATGCACAGTGGCAAGATTGGTCTCGTCACACCCAGGTCCCGCTTCAATTGGTGGCAAGCGACGGGATCCCATGTCCCTGCCAACAGACCCATGGACTACAGTGATCTAAAGCGACCTACACTGCAGGGCTTGTGTGGAGCCAGAGGAATAACGCCTGGTGGGCGTAACAAGGCCCAATTGACTGCTGCACTCATGGAGGACAACCAGGCATGCAGTGAGGCAACGAACCCCAGCCAGGGGCCGGAGATGAGGAGGAAGTGCGCAAGGAGATGGAACGGCACCTGGCATATTACCGAGAGCCACCCTCAGAGGAGATTGTCAGCAGGACCTTTTTGGAGGTGCAAGCCTATGTCCTTGCCAATAGATCAAGGAAGAAGGGAGCAGAGGGTGCCAGGAAGCACAACCACCCTGGCCCACAAGCTACCATACAATGCCTTCAAAGAGTTCAAGGAAGCAGAAGAAGGCATCGATTACTTTTTACAAGACTTTGAGCGCCAGTGCCTAGAGTAGCTGTTGACATTATAGTTGCGCAGGCACTTTGAGAACCTCTAGAGAACCTCAGGCCAATTGCACGTCCCCTTGACGGAGACGACGCATTCGGATGTCTGCCCTATCAACTTTCAATGGACTTTCTGCGCCTACCATTGTGACCACGGGTAACGGGGAATCAGGGTTCAATTCCAGAGAGGGTGCCTGAGAAACGGCTACCACATCCAAGGAAGGCAGCAGGCGCGCAAATTACCCACTCCCGATGCGAGGAGGTAGTGACGACAAATAACAATACAGGATTCTTTAGAGGCCCTGTAATTGTAATAAGTCCACTTGAAATCCTTTAACTAGGATCAATTGGAGGGCAAGTCTGGTGCAGAGCGTCTGACCCATGGGTGCTGCAGCTGAATTCCACCGTCGCCTGCTGCTGCTTGCACAGTCTCTCCAGCATGTTCAAGGTGGAGTTCGACCTTGTGGACACGTCGCATATGAGGCTGTGAGCGGGAAGGCCAAAGTTACACTGCAGCGCAGACAGGCAAACTGTACTATTTAGCACCCAAAAAAATTTGAGTTGGTCAAACTGCGCTGTAACCACAGTATTTGATGGTTCTATTTGACTGTCAGATATGAAGTGCACACCCCAAATTTACTTTTTATCACCCCAAAAATTTGAATGGGTCAAAGTGCGCTGTAAGCACAGTGTTTGACGGTTCTATTTGACTCTCAGATATGAAGTGTACAACCTAAATTTACTTTTTATCACCCCAAAACTTTGAATGGGTCAAAGTGCGCTGTAAGCACAGTGTTTGACGGTTCTATTTGACTCTCAGATATGAAGTGTACAACCTAAATTTACTTTTTATCACCCCAAAACTTTGAATGGGTCAAAGTGCGCTGTAAGCACAGTGTTTGACGGTTCTATTTTACTCTCAGATATGAAGTGCACCGCAGTACGCAAATGTACTATTTAGCACTAGCACCCAAAACAATTAGAATTGTTCAAAGTGCGCTGTAAGCACAGTGTTTGACGGTTCTACTTGACTCTCAGATATGAAGTGCACCGCAGGACACAAATGTACTATTTAGCATCCAAAACTATTAGAATTTTTCAAAGTGCGCTATAAGCACAATATTTGACGCTTCTATTTGACTCTCAGATATGAAGTACACACCCCAAATTTACTTTTTATCACCCCAAAAATTTGAATGGGTCAAACTGCACTGTAAGCACAGTATTTGACGGTTCTATTTGACTCTCAGATATGAAGTGCACCGCAGGCCGCAAATGTACTATTTAGCACCCAAAACAATTTTAATTTTTAAAAGTGCGCTGTAAGAACAGTGTTTGACGGTTCCTATTGACTCTCAGATATGAAGTGCACCGCAGGCCGCAAATGTACTATTTAGCACCCAAAACAATTAGAATTTTTAAAAGTGCGTTGTAAGCACAGTGTTTGTCGGTTCTATTTGACTGTCAGATATGAAGTGCAGGCCGCAAAGGTACTATTTAGAAGCCAAAAAAATTTGAATTTGTCAAACTGCGCTGTAACCACAATATTTGACAGTTCTATTTGACTCTCAGATATGAAATGCACTGCAGGACGCAAATGTACTATTTAGCATTAGCACCCAAAACAATTAGATTTTTTAAAAGTGCGCTGTAAGGTCAGTATTTGACGGTTCTATTTGACTCTCAGATATGAAGTGCAGGCCACAAATTTACTTTTTGTCACCCCAAAAATTTGAATGGGTCAAGCTGCACTGTAAGTACAGTATTTGACGGTTTTATTTGACTCTCAGATATGAAGTGCACCGCAGGACGCAAATGTACTTGTAGCTGAGAGCTGTTTTCCCACAGCTAAACTCCACCAAGTACTTTAAGAGGATGCAGGAACAAGTAATAAATCCAATAGAATATCCAGAACAATCAGCAATACAATCCAATAATATCCCATCACTTTCCCCAATCACTGGACGACACACAGTATCAGGAGTAGAACTGAACTTTTAATCACACAACCTTCTTTTAAAGAATTCTCCCATGCAAGGGAGGGATTTACAGGAATTACATCATACACGAGTTGCCACCCACACATCCCCTCCCCATAGTGTGACACATAATCCCATTATGTAAGACACAGTTCCCCTGGTTTTCTGGATGTACCCCTAAACCTAGAAGTACCCCTTTAAATTTAACATCCCTGGTAACCCTGATCTGGGTGAATAACATATCCAAAAATCACCCAAATCAGATCAGGGGTCCAGGAGTTATGGGGGTTTAAAGTTTTGTGGAGGTCCCTTTTGGACCACTGAAGCATGGCTTTCCAGCCCAAACCAGTTCCAACTAGTCTGGCAGTGTGTCTGGGACAACGCCCTGCTGGAGAACAATGGGACAGGAAACGGGGGAGGGGTACACCTCCCTATACACAATCTATACACAGTCTAATAGAAGTCCATACACTGTTACTTAGAGTTTTGTGTACTCCAGGCATAGGAAAATCTCTGCAGGGCCAACAATCAATAAAAGGGAATGAGACAGCCAAAAATGGGATCCGCTACACTGCTCCCCATTGCCCACAAGCCAGCATACACAGTCAGATCTATTACGGATCGACTTGGGGATGTCCGGAGATGCTCACGAATCATTTTTCCAGTTCAGTCTGTCTCGACAAGCCGTCAGCGTTTCCATTCTGTTTCCCCGGGCGGTATTGTATATTAATGTCAAAGGGCTGCAGCGCCAAACTCCAGCGCAGCAGCCTGGCATTGTCCCCAGCCACCCGATTCAACCACACCAACGGGTTGTGATCCGTGAGCAACAAAAATGGCTGTCGATACAAGTACGGTTGTAATTTCTTCAGGGCCCACACCATGGCCAGGTATTCCTTTTCGATGGCGGCGTAGCTTACTTCTCTTGATAACAATTTTCTACTGATGTAAGCCACAGGATGTTCTCCGCCATCGGCCTCGACTTGGCTCAGTACTGCCCCCAGTCCAAACATAGAAGCGTCTGTGTGGACAAGAAAACGTTTAGTTGGATCAGGGGCTGCCAAGACGGGAGCATTTACCAGTGCGTTCTTCAGCTGTTGGAATGCCTGCTCACACACCGGGGTCCAGGTGACCTGATGGGGAAGGTTGTTACGGGTAAGGTCGGTAAGGGGTTGGGCCAGGGCGCTATAATTGGGCACAAACTTCCTATAATACCCTGCCGTCCCTAAAAAGGCTAACACCTGAGTTTTGGTCCTAGGGGTTGGCCACTGAGCTACGGCCTCTACCTTTGCGGGTTCTGGCTTCTGCATATCGCAACCTACTCGGTGACCGTGGTACTGAACCTCAGCCATCCCAATTCTGCACGTGGCTGGCTTTAACGTTAACCCTGCCTCCCTGATCCTGTCTATAACCGCCCCTATATGGGTTAGGTGCGCCTGCCAGGTATTGCCTGGGGCGTTCTTCATCCCAAAAGGCATTACCTTAAATTGGTACAAGCCGAATGGTGTGACAAACGCCGACTTAGGGATAGCGTCTGGAGCTAAAGGAATCTGCCAATACCCCTTACAAAGATCAATTGTAGTGAGGTATTGGCCCCTAGCCATCTGGTCCAGCAATTCATCTATCCTGGGCATAGGATAGGCGTCAGATACGGTTTTCTCATTTAATCTCTGGTAGTCCACGCAGAAACGGGTGGTACCATCCTGTTTCGGTACCAGGACTACCGGAGAAGCCCAAGGGCTGTCAGAAGGCTCAATGACTCCCAGTTTCAGCATCTCATTGATCTCCTGGCGCATGTGTTCCCGCACCGCCTCTGGTATGCGGGATGGGGTTTGGCGCATAGGTAACTGGCCTGGGGTTTCTACGCGATGAGTTGCCAGGGGCGTGTAACCTGGTACATTAGAGAAGGATTCTTGTTTTTCCCTCAGCAACTGTTGTACCTCACTACGCTCCTGAGGACTCAGCCACTCCCCCAGCTTAACCTCGGCTATGTCGGTACCTGATTTCCTGTCCTCTAGCAGGTCTGGAAGGGGAAGGTTGTCAAAATCTTCAGAGGGGGGTGCACAAATGGCTGTCACCTCGTCGGAGCGCTCCCGGTAGGGTTTCAGCATGTTCACATGAATCATGCGTCGCCCCCCTGAGCCAGCACAGGGGCCAATTATATAGGTGGTGTCGCAGCGCTGCTCCAGCACCTTATAAGGGCCCTGCCAGGCAGCCTGTAGCTTGTCATGCCGGACAGGTTTTAAAATTAAAACTTTCTGTCCTACCTGAAAGCTACGGTCCCTGGCGTTCCGATCATACCATGTGCGCTGACGTGTCTGCGCTGCCTGGAGGTTCTCCCGTACTGCTCGGGTTAGTTCCTCCAGTCGGTTCCGAAATTCCAGTACATAAGGTATGATAGAAGTACCTGTGGAGCTGTGTTCTCCCTCCCAGTGCTCCTTAATGAGATCCAGGGGACCTTTGACCCGTCTCCCATATAATAATTCAAACGGGGAGAACCCCGTGGATTCCTTCGGCAACTCCCGATAAGCAAAGAGGAGGTGTGGTAAGAATCTTTCCCAGTCCCGATGGGTTTCTGCGAACATTCGGAGCATCTGTTTCAATGTTCCATTAAACCGTTCACTAGCCCATTGGTCTGGGGGTGATATGGGGCACTGATTATTGGCCTCATGTAACAAAATTTCCATAGCTGCTGTGTGACCTCCACAGTAAACTGAGTGCCCTGATCGGAGAGGATCTCCCGGGGTAATCTGTGACGAGACCAATCTCGCCACATTGCATTGGAGAAGTCTGGTTGCTCCCCTGTTGCCTTTGGATTATGGCCCCATGTTAAAAGGCTTGATTTTTCCCTGCAAAGACATGAAAGCCGGGTCATTTGGTGCTTGCCCTGTTTGAGCAGTGATACCCCAGATAGCTACACCATGGAGCCCATTCATATAATGAAAGACTATGGGAAAGACTTTGGCTCCATGGCAATTGAACTGTATGTGTGTGCTTTGAGCGCCATTCAGTAATAATGTGCGCTCAGATCTGAGCTATCTGGGGATATGTTGAATGTACTTGTTTTGTGCAATGGCTGCACAGTTATATGTTTGTATGTGTTTTATTGTCTTTTGCTGCCATGTGTTCAGTTGAGTTTTGCTTCTGTCCTTGGAGATAATTGGATTACTTCCCAATTATCTCCAGGATAGAAGACTCTGTGGAACTGGTTTTGGGCAGAAAAGCCATGCTGCCTTTGGTCACAAAGGACTACGATCTATCTTTTAAACCAATGGAGCAATTTAGATGATTTTGACATTTGTTTGTATTTGGAGTATGCTGATTCTGAAAATCAGAATGTGATGCATACTTTTCAAGTTATGAATAATGTGGATGTTATAATTACATTACCCATTGTGTAAGGTAATTGTATCA